GTACATGAATGAGTCAATGAGCCTGCAGTTTATAAGATTTTGCTCCAGGTTTGCACCGAAGACTGGTGAGAGGAGGGTGGCAGATGGCCCTGGGACACCCAAGCAAAGAGTATATCAATCCTAGAGCTTCTCCCCCAGATGTCCTCTGCTCTGGCTTCTGGTGCTTTCCTCCCACAGCTAGGGCACATCCCAAGGGCAGATCTGTGATACAGCCTTAATTTATGGAGGGTTTTAATGGACACAGGGATATTAAAGGGCCAGGGTTAATTATTTAGAAAGTGTTTCAACTGACTTGTTTTCCATCCCCTCAATGATGGGTAGCTTTATTTTTGGTTTAAGTTTTTTTTTTTTTCTTCGAAGTAAACTCTGTCCCCAACTGGGGGCTCCAACTCCTGTCCCCAAGATTGAAAGTCACATGCTTTGCCGGCTGAACCAGCAAAGTGCTCCAGTGATGGGTAGCTTTTTTTTTTTATAAAGATTTTATTTATTTATTCATGAGAGACAGAGGCAGAGGGAGAAGCAGGCTCCCCCTGGAGCAGAGAGCCCGATGCGGGACTCGATCCCAGGACCCTGGGATCATGACCTGAGCCGAAGGCAGACGCTTAACCGACTGAGCCACCCAGGTGTCCCCAGTGATGGGTAGCTTTAAAGCCCATGTTCACTCCCTGGGAAGAAAAGACATCCTACCCTTGTATGATTTCTAGTTCTGAGCCACTCATGCTTCACATTCTAGAAAGCAAGCACATCTCTGCGTATACCATCTCCTGCTTCTTTTTGGATTCACTAAAAGTGTAAGGGGAAGTGGCTGGAGAAGGAGGCAGTTTGGACATTGGGCAGACTAATCAGAAGAACCATCTCCTCTATTAGAGGAATGAAAAAAATGCTCAGACTAACTTACCTGGGACGTGAAGTTGTGTGACAGGTCCTTCACTGAGAAAGGAGGACTAGTCGCTTCTGGTGGCTAAAATGATTACTTCTTCTGTTTTTTGTTTTTTTAAAGTCTTTTTTTTTTTTCTTTTTTTAAAGATTTTATTTATTTGACGAAGAGAGAGACAGCGAGAACAGGAACACAAGCAGGGGGAGTGGGAGAGGGAGAAGCAGACTTCTCACAGAGCAGGGAGCCCAATGCAGGGCTCAATCCCAGGACCCTTGGACCATGACCTGAGCCAAAGGCAGACGCTTAACGACTGAGCCACCCAGGTGCCCCTGTTTTTTTAAAGTTTTATTTATTTAAATAATCTCTATACCCAGTGTGGGGCTCAAACTCACGACCCCAAGACTGAGTCTCACGCTCTTCTGAGCCAGCCAGGCACCCCTAAAATTATTACTCCCTTTGAATCTGAGAAGGAAAATCATTTTCAGACAAATTAGGGGATAGAAGAATGTGAAAAGATGAAGTCCCCATGATATTCATTAGCTCTTGGAATCTGATAAAATTCTGAGATTATTATTTGTGACTTTGTGAATTTCTTTTATATGCCAGATATGGTCCCGGAAACATTAAAATGACTCCCTTCTAGAGTGTAAAATTATAGATAGGAAGTCCTTCTCCACCCTCCTCCTCATTCTGTTGTATTTAAGAGTTTTATTTGACTCCGTTTTATTTATTGTTTTGTTCATTGCATGGGGAGTAAGTAATTACAGTCCGCTTAATCAGCTTCCTGGAGGAGTTGGCCTTCACTGGCCTTTTGGAGACACCAGTCAGAATGGAGACCAGGGCTTTTTATTTTTAATTTAAACCTAAGATATTAGGTGGATTGTATAATTTTTTCTTTCGAAATAAGAAATGATTATTATTACATTTTAAAAATCACAGAACTCCAGGGGCGCCTGGGTGGCTCAGTCGGTGAAGTATCTGCCTTTGGCTCAGGTCATGATCCTAGAGTCCTGGGATTGAAACTCCATGTCTGCTTCTCCCTCTGCCGCTCTCTCCAGCTTGTGCACTCCCTCTCTCTCAAATAAATAAATAAAATCTTTCAAAAAAATAAAAATCACAGAACTCCAGACTGAATATTACTACACACACACACACACACACACACAGATTTCTGGAGAGTCACCTACTGTACCCCCTCTCAAAATTTGGCTGAGTTCTGCCTCCGGGCAATTTTCCCATTCAATTCCACACACCAAACTGGGATAAATAGAAACACTGAAGTCTTTTGGTTTCACCCACACTTCCAGAATGCTCTTACAGGTAGAGTATTTGTTGGAGAAAATCATTTTTCTGAGAATCTTGCTGGGGTCATCACTGCCCTGGATTGTATGATATTTAACTTTATTCATGTTTCTTTTTTTTTTTCTGCCCCATCAAATGACTTAATGTCTTCTGTATTAAAAACATTTCTGTGCAATATCTAGGGGCGCCTGGGTGGCTCAGTCATTAAGCGTCTGCCTTCGGTTCAGGTCATGATCCCAGAGTCCTGGGATCGAGCCCGCATTGGGCTCCCTGGAGCCTGCATCTCCCTCTCCCACTCCCTGTGCTTGTGTTCCCTCTCTCGCTGTGTCTCTCGCTGTCAAATAAAATCTTTAAAAAAAACAAATTTCTATGCAATATCTAAAAGTTAAGTGGATTTTAGTATGAAATATGTTAAGTAAAATTTAAAATACATTTGAGGTTGGTATGTCCACAAACTCAGATCAGAAGATGAAAACCAAGATCTTTAGTGACAGGAATTGCATATAAGGAAGTTTTTACAACTGTTTGCTCAGTGCCCATCAGTGAAGGAGATGTGCTTCAGTGGAGAGTTTAATCCTTGTTTGCTTAGTTGTCAGGAACAATAGAAACTGCTCCAGAAGAGAAATACGGGTGTGTGTAGGGGAGGGAGGATGGGAACTGCAGCTTGGGGGCGGGGGGTGTTAGTGTTCGCGTGTGTGTGAACAGAAAGCAGGAAACCGGAGCTGCCCGTGGCCTGCAGTAAGGTCGGCTCGCCTGTCTCCGGCTCTTTTCTATTTGCTCTGATGACAAGCAGAGCTTTGAAAAGCTTTGTGAAGACAAAGACTTCACCAGAACCGAGGGGAAAACAATCCAAGTGCTAGAAGTGCAAGTGCTAGGAGACCTGAGGGAGAGGGGGGCCCAGCTGAAGATAAGCCACCCACTGCGGAAGGCGCCGGGAACCTGGGTCCCCATCCCGGGAGAGAGGTGCCATGGGGGAAGATGCTGCACTTCTGCTCTGTCCTCTCTGCTACCTGCGGAAAACCAGAAAAATGAAGCCCCCAGGCAGCACTGTTCAGTGGAAGGTGGTGAAACCCTGTAGCCAGACTCTTTCTCCCTGGAGAACTCTTGGGATTAGTCAGTCGGGCAGCCCTTCCCCACCTCCATGGGCACGATGTGATATGCTATGGGGGCAGAGGGACCTGCTACCTGGATGGCCCCTACAGGAGAGTACGCAAGTCAGGGATGGTGGTCTAAGACTGCTAAGGGCTCATCTTTTCACAAGGACCAACAGTTGAAAAGCAAAGTACGGGATAATTGGCTGGGTGTGGAGGGGGTGGATGTCTTTTCCATTCTTTCCTTTTCCCGCTGAAGCCTGGGGGATATAAGCGGGAGGGAGGCTGAGCTCCTGATTAGGTTTATAACCCAGATACTACTGGTCCTGATGAATTAAAAGAATATTAAGGCCATAGCCAGGGACACCACATTTTTCATTTAACCAGGATTGCAGCATTGACTCTCTAAATAGTCTGGAAAGGCAGGCTGCTTTCTTCTACCCTCCACCCCAGGCTCCCAGGTGGACTTAGGAGAACTTGGGGGCAGCAGATTGATCACAAGGTGCGACAGGTGGTGGCCCTTGAGTGGGACCAGTTAGCTTGGTTGGGGTCTGTGTGAGGAGGCTGCAGCTCTCTCTGGCCTCCTCCTGCATGAATGTCCTGCAGATTCATTGTCAGTATGGCGTGTGTGCATGAAGGAGCAAATGGAGCCCTTCTGGTGAAGCAACAAGTCCTGGGATGCACGAGGCTAAGGGTGGGACTGAGTGTCCTCTTTGAAGGTGTAGGGCAGCTGGATGACTGTTATTGGTCTGGTTTAGTCCCTCATAGATTTAGACTCAACTCCCCCCGCTTCCTCCTCTGCCCCTTGCTGCAGATGCTCTGCAGGTGAGTGGGGGACGACCTCTGAGCCTCAGGGACGGTGGGCTCAGCTTCAGTCTCATTTAGGACTCCCTAAAGATCTTCATTACCTTTCTTGTGAGAACCACTGAGTAGCAGCACTGCCCCCTTGCTTTGAGGCAAAGTGGCTGGGGATAGTCTCCGTGTTCTACCTGGCATTATTGGCAAAGTGATCTGAAAAAGCACCCTCCCTGCCCCCAAGCCTGAAATCCCATTTCCTCTTTGCAGTCCTTCACCTACTCTTTCACTTGGTACCTAAGGATTGAGTACTGAGGACTGACCGTCAGGCCAGATCCTGATGGGAGCCTCTCCCAGCATCCATGGGAGAGGAGAGGCAGGGTGCTAATGTCTTTTTATAAAAGTTGACTCCACAAGAGTTAAAGTGGAGGGGCACCTGGATGGCTCAGCGGTTAAGCATCTGCCTTTGGCTCAGGTCATGATCCCAGGGTGCTGGGATCAAGCCCTGCATCGGGCTCCCTGCTCCGTGGGGAGCCTGCTTCTCCCTCTACCTCTACTGCTCCCCCTGCTTGTGTGCGCTCTCTGTCTCTGTCTGTCAAATAAAAAATCTTAAAAAAAAAAAAAAAAGTTAAAGTGGATATTCAAATTGCTGTAAGCAATTCCTGCGGCCGTGCCCCCCTCCTCCCGCTGCCCCCCACCCCTTCCTGGGTAGGTGAGGAAGGGCTCCACCTTGTACTTGCAACTCTTCTCCCCAGGCTCCTCAGTGCCACCACCTACTGTGTGTCTGTGGCTTCTTGGCCAAAGTACCATTCAGGGGCTGTTTCCTCATTGCAAACCGCTCATGATACCCACCTTAAAGGGATGTCTTAAGCATTAAGAAACCAGCATGTGTGGAAATTTAATAAATTTATATTTAATTTTATAATTAATAAATGGGAGTGTCATTTAATAAATGGGAGTTTCCTCTTTTCCCCTCCACCTCCTTCCAGATCCTCCCCCTCCTCCCACCTTCCTTGCCACCTCCCCGTGCTTTCTCTCCCCCCACCCACCCTATTCTCCACCTGTAACTTCTCCCAAGCATCCCCCCTCTTCGTCATCAACCCTTTAGGCTCAGAAGCCCCAACCCCCCAGTTGGCCTTACTTGGAGGACCGGGTGGGGAGAGGGGCTCGGAGATCCCAAATGGCTACGGGGGCTTCTGAGGCCAATAATGGAGCCTTGAGCTGCAGTGGGTTCCGGGGGTTGGGAGAGGGAGCTGGCTCAAGAGTGACAGCCCATCTCGGGGGGGACGAGGACGACCGGCTCCGGGTCCGACTCTCCCCGACCCGGAGCAGCAGCCGTGACCTTGAGCTGGAGGCGGGGGCGCGGAGGGGACCGGGCCCCGCGGGGCAAGTGCGCCCCGCCCCGCCCCGGCCTCTCCCGCCTCGCCGGCCCCGCCCCCCGCGGCCGCGTCTCCTCCCCCCACTGCAGCGCTCGCCGCGCTCGCCCAGCCGTCAGCCGCCGCCGCCGCTTCGGCGCAGACTGCTAAGCTCAGCAAGTCTTGCGGCAAAGGCACTTCGGACCGAGTTGGGGCCGGGGCGGAGCGGGGACCCCGGGCCCCGGGGGAACGGACGCCCCTCTGCACCGTGGCCAGCGCCCCGCCCTTACAGCCCGCCGCCCCCTCACTTCGGGGACCCGGGATCCCTCCTGCCTGGCCGCTCCGTGTAAGTCCGTCCCCCCTCCCCCGCCTATGGGGGGGCATCGACTCCCCCTCCAAAGTTTTTCTTCCCGGGGCGCGTTTTCCGTTGCTGGGCCGAGGGGGCTCCCCGGGGGGGGCGGGGGGGCGGGTCCGGGAAGTTCGGGGCCAAGGGGGCCGGGCGCCCGCACCGTCCTTCGGGGGGAGTTTGGACGCGTGCGGGTGGAAGGTTCGTTTTGGGAAGCTGGACTCGAGCGGCGAGGAGCCCGCGGCTCTGCGGGCTTGGGGCGGGAGGAGGAAGCAGCTTTCCTCCCTGGGCTGGGGGGGCGCGCGGCGGATGAGGTGCAAGCGGAGCGGCGGGCCGACGTCCCCGGAGCCCTCGGGCTCTGCGTCCCCGCCGCTCCCGCCCTCCCTTCTGGACGCCCCCCACCCCGCGTCTCGCCCACCCCAAGCCCGCCGGGGCCGTCTCCAACCCAGCTTCTTTCGGCCCCGCCTCACGCTTCAGGGACCCCCGGCCCCGCCGTCGTGGGAGGGGGAGGGAGGGTCTGCGGGCTCCAGGAGGCAGAGACCCTGGATTAGGGGAGAGGGCGGGGGTCGGGGAGGGGGGACAGACTCCAGGGACTATCTGGAAGTGAGGGTCGAGAGGAACTGGGACAGGGACGCGAGAGGGGGATGGAAGCACCCCTAGTCTCTCTCCAAATCTCATGACTCAGCACGACCTAGGACGTCCCGTCCCTGCTTCAGCCCTCCTTCCCAGGGCTGGCTCCCAGACCCAGAAAGTACAGACAATCCCACCCCGCTTTTCCGGACTCCTTCATTTACCTTCCCCATTTTGGGTCCCCCCTTCACCTGTCTCTGTTCACCCCCCTTTCTCTCAGGACATGGGGGCTTTATTTTTTTAATTAAAAGGGTAGATGATTTATCCTTCTCCTATCCCTTTAACCCACTCCTTCCTCCTTTCTCCTTTCCACCCTTCCATTCCCACATTCCACAGGTGCCTTCCGGACACCCTGGTCCATGGTGTGTGTGGGGGCCTCCAAAGCCCCATCTCTCCCTCTGCAGCCTCCTCCCCCCATTCACTGTTGAGGTAGAGAAGTGAGTGTTCTGGCTGCTTTCTCCTGTGGCAGCAGAAAGGAGTGCAAGGACACAGGAGGTGGCCCAGGAGAGGGGCACTGCAGTGGGGGAGAGAAGGCCAGAGGCCTGATGGGGTGGGCGGACCCGGATTGGAATGGAGTGGGCATAAGGATGAAGAAGTCCTTAGGCTCTGTGTGCCCAGAAAGACAGGAAGATGGGCCAAGGTCTGACCTGGAGAGAGCTGGGGGGTGCCCTTCCTCCTCTCCTCCTGTTGCCGTCCTGAGAGGGTCTCCCATGTGTAATCGATTAGCCTCAGCCTGAGCCATCCAGCTCTTGGTAACCTGGGCACTTCATCAGAGGGTGTGACCACGGGGAGCAGGGTAGCCTTCATCTTTCCAGTCATCTCCCCCTGCTTAGGTCCACGTGCAGACTTTGGGCTGCTAGGAACATCTCTGTGTCCACCCCCCCCCCCCCAGGAGCCAAAAGAAGAGCCATGCCCAGTGCCCCTAAGACAGGGCCAGAGGGGCAGGTGGGAGAGGCGGGCCGGCCCTGATGCAGTGGGACGTGCATGCCTGGCAGCCACTACCAGCTGCAGCCTGTGTCAGGGCCCCAGGGGTGAGTCAGCGTCAGGGGTCCACACCAGACAAATTGAGACCTGGGCCAGGGAGCCCAGCCCCACTCCTGCTTCTCTTCCGCATGCCCCTGGGAATGACTGGTGCCCCCTCAACCCTCAGTCCTGGTTTTCTCCCTGCTTGGTGCTCAGACAGATCCCTGGCTTCATCCTCTAGGACACCCCTGGGGGGACTTGCTTCTTCTGGGGACCTCTTGGGCTTGATCCTGGCCCATTCTCCATACCTTGCCCAAGGAGGAGCTGGGGAGCTTCTGGAAAGCTGAAAAAGGGGAAGGTACATATAAGTGTTCTACTTCCAGAATCAGAGACCTGGCTCACTGCCCCTAGGAGGAGGAGACCAGAGGTCATTCTCCCTTTCACCTTCAGTCAGCTGCCACGCAGATGTGACAGGAATGTCCCTGGTACTGCAGGGACCCGCGGGCGGGTGGGCTTTCGAGATGACTGGAGAAGCCTCTTCCCTGCTCTCCCTGAGCCAGTATTCCCCAGCCCCAGGCGAGCCTGACCTCCAGCGACCCTTGTGCCTCCACCTGGACTCTGTCCTCTCTCAGCAGAGTCTCCTGTTTCTTCCCACCGACCCTGTGGAGTCTGTGTAGCCCTGTCAGGAGAGCAGAGAGAGGGGCAGTGGGTGCTCTGGGATCCAGGGTATGGGAAGCATGGTGAGGATGGAGGCGGAGGAAGTTGGGGTTCAAGGAGCTGGAAGAGTGGCTCATTATCCCCCTCCTTGGACAGAAGCATCCTCGGGGATAGTCAAAGACCGTGGAGATTAGACTTGCTGTTTCATTTGCCCTTGGGATCTGAGCTTTCCTGATCTGGGTTCTAGCTGAAGGTGGGTCTGCTTTTTTTGAGTGAGACACACAGAAGGTCCAGAGTGATGGAGATGATTTTTGAGAACCGGAGTGGCAAACCAGAGTGGACAATAGAGGGTGATTACTCAGTACGGGGTAGTGGTTAACAAAGGAAGCAGCAAACCAACAGGCTTGGGTTCATAATCCCAGGGCCACTAATTACAAAGTGTGTGACTTTATTCATTCATTCATGCAACACATATTTATTGGTGAGCACCTACTATGTCAGCACCTACTATGTGCATTGTTCTAGTCACTGTGGATACAGCAGTGAACAGACAAAACCCCAGCCCTTATGGATTTTGCATTCCAGCAGGCCTAGACAAGTTGCTTAGTTACTCTGAGCTCAGTTTCTACATTCATTCAACTATTAGATTTTGAGAGTCTACTATGTGCTGAGGGTATGTTAGGCCATGGAGATTCAGTTGGGAACAAAACAGACCTGGTTCCTGCCCCCGTGGCATTTACCATCTAGTGAATAACACACAGGATTAAGCAGATTATTACATAAATAATTCATCACAACCGTGACACCTGTTAGGAAGACATACAGGATGCCTCAAGACCATGCAATGGCGTGACCTGACCAGGTCTGGAAGGTTTCATCTATAAATCTGAGGTAATAATACTTACCCCACAAGTAAATGATAACTTATTCATATGGCGCCCTGGACGGATACAATTCTAAATTTCCTCCATGAATAACCATCACACATGCAACAAGTTGCTTCTTCATCCTCCACTAGGTCAGAGAAACCCAGGTAGAGACGCCATGATCCAGTCCTGGGTTCTCAGGAGGACAGGGAGTCTGACGGGTAACACGGTTCCACCGGTGAAGTGGCAAGTCATGGACACAGTCTAGTGTCCCCAGCCAGATTGCCCGGGTTCCTCCTGGTTTGGCCCCTGCCTCTGACTTGGGCAAGTTAATCAAATGCTATTTCTCAGTCTGCCTATCTGTGGAGTGGAGGTAAAACCCGAATCTGTGAAATAGGCAGCTTTCGTCGAGGATGCAGTACGTTAATGCCTGGAAAGGGTTCGAGCAGCGCCTCGCACCTGGTGAAAGCCAGGCCTATGTGCTCCACTGTTGTTTCGTTGTTGCCTGCCTGCCCTCCTAGCCCTTTCCCTGCCTGCAGCCCAGACTCTTTCGGCACATTTTCCACCTCTGTTAATCTTAAAAACTCGAAGGAAGGAGCTGCTGTAACTTCTTCGGTGGCCATTCCAGAATTTCCTCCCTCTGACTCTCAGGCAGTTCTTTATGCCCGACGAGGCCGTATGTTGTCAAAGCTTAATTTCTGGGCAGGATTTGTCCCAGCAGTCCTTCATTTTCATCCCTGGAACTGATAGGTCAGGGTAGGAGCCAGAGTGATGGGTCCATTTGGATCTGGGCCTAGAGGGACGTGAACAGTCATTGTGAGTTTACAGCCCCCGTCCCCTGACCCCAACATACACACACACAGGTCTATGCTTCAGCAAGGGGTCTAAAATTAAACATCAGGAAGGATACCCCAAATACATGGTATGCAAGAGACGTCCTAAAAGCTTCCTCCCTGGATAATTTTCCAGACTGGGACAGACTTCCCCACCTGTCTGGTCAGGAGACCATAGGACTGAATGCTGGGATGGGGAGGTTGGATCCTTCGGGAAGGAGGCTGTGAGTTGCTTGGTCCGTTATCATAGCCACTGACACTCGGAGGGTTGGGTGCTACCAGGCAACTCCCAAACTGGGGGTCCGGGGCAAGAAAAGAAGAGGACAGCCCTGCTGTTGTAAATTCAGGAGAGCCCCCCTTTTGACCATTTGGTCTGGGGCCTCGACATTTCAGCTTTTGCTGTAGGCAACACTCACCGTCAGGCGGAAGAAAGGGCATAGCCAGCATGGACCATGCCTGGCAAGGAGATGCAGAACCGGGTGTGAGCCACACAGCCGTCAGGGCAACCCGCCGGCCCGCTCCTCTCTCAGGCTGCCCCTTCCTTTCCCCCTCTGTGATTTTTCGTCTCCCACCACAGGGGTCTCAGAGCAGACATCACAGTCCCACTTTACAACAAACAGGCAAAGGCTCAGAAAAGTTGTGTGACTGGTTTAAAATCTCACACCATGGAGACCAGAGCGAGGTCTCAAACCTAGATCAGAGCACTTTGGTGGGGGGTGGTTCTTTCGAGGCTGCTGTAGCTGATTGGTGAGAACTTTTCCTCTCTAGGGAGCCTCCCCTCCCCCGTTCCTTCTCACCAGCTCCCTCTAGAGTGTGCAGCCTGCCAACATGGTCAGGGGTCCCCAGAGTCATTAATGCTTTGAGTATAAGCAGGGGACCAGTCATTGAAATCAGGTAGCAGGATTTTACAAAATTAGGCAGTGATCCCTTGGAGAAATGGAATCAGCTCTCCCTCTCTGGTGTTGGGCTTCTCTGGGACTCGCTGTAAGGATTTTGTCATCTTCAGGAGCACTTGCTCTGAAGTGAGGCGGGAGGAGCCCTGGTGGAAGGA